CTGGAGGCAGCCGATCAATGTTTCTCTCTCTCCCTCTCCCTTCCTCTCTCTAAAACCAATAAAAATACATAATAGAAAAAACATAGAGTATTACTTGTACTATATACTGAAATTCTGTTGTGGAATAATTATTGCCTGCACCATGTGTTTTCCAAGAAGGTGAGATCACTTGGTGCTAGTAGTAATGAGTGTGATAACCACCAGCCCTTGAATGTTTAGCGTGGACCACGTACTGTGCTTTATGTGAATTTTCTAATTTGATCTCACCACTACCCAGTGGGGGTTATGGTTCTTCCTTTCTTGTCTTTTTCCTAAACATTCCAGCTGTGTTGTTTCAGCATTGAATGGATTTGCTTTTCATCAGAGCTCTGCTTAATGTGAATCACCAAGGGGTGGTAGCTGCTGATGCAGTATGGTTGTGAGTGATGGTAATACCCTGGAGACTCTTGGAAAACTTCACACAAGTAATATGTGGTTGTTTGTTTGTTGTTTGTTTTTGAAAGATCAGACAATACAGATGCCTATGAAGTAAACTGGAAAAGTGGCCCACTCCCCTCCACTGCCCAATCCTTTATCCCACCTCTCCCCAAGATAACCCTAATAGTTTAGTGTCTGTTCTTCCAGACCTTTGCTTTTCCATTAAAAAAAAGTCCTGAGAGCCATTTCAGGGGGACTTTTCTTCCCAAGAACTGTTTCCTTAGCTGCTCCAACCTTTCTTTTCAGTGGGACATTTTCCTGTTTGGACTTAGACTAAGGAACTTAGCCAGGAATGGGCCTGTTTCTTCTAAACTTGAACTCTTGTATCCAGTTTGCCCTTTAAGCCTTCCTGTTCCCCAGGGATGTGTAGGAGCAAGAAAGGTATAAGCTTAGTAGCTCTTTAAAATGTTAGATTATTCAAAATATTATTTTACAGATGAGGTCAGTTTATTTGCTCCTAAAGTAAGTTCCTTGTAAGCTCTTGATTGGAGGGTCAACTGATGGTGGGTCCTTTGGACTTAGAGTAAGTATTGATGCCTTTGCTTATCTTTAAATAGTGGATATATGGCTAAAAAATGTATAAGTTTAGATTTGCTTAATTTGGGTGTTTTTGAAATAAGGCTTTCATTAGTGGCCTGTGTGAGGCTTTCTACATATATAAATACCTTTTCTTCTTCTTATCTTTCCTTTGATATTTCCTAAAATATCTCCTGGGAGATGGGCAACCTGTCTGTTGGATTCTAAAGGCTTACACACAGACACAGCAAGTCTGTATCCTCACAGTGCACTTAGAAATTTGAGGGAAGCGTCTCATAGCCGTTGTGTCAGGAGCCCCGAGTACACTACAGAGGACAGTGATGTGTAGGTGCAAAAAAGGTGTAAGCTTTTTATGACCTTGCAGAAAACTGCCTTCTGGGTGTATGCTGTCTGTGGAACCTGGGTACCAGACATTATTTACCTGTCTGGACTTTGATTTTATGGCAGAAACCACTGTCTTTGTGTTAGATTTTAAAACTAATTTCTCACTTCCTCTGCTTTTTATATTTTGGGCCCTCTAAAGCTTTTTGAAGTTTGTCACTCTGCACTGGTGATGGGATCATTTCCTGGGACCTGAAGGGCAATGCTGTCGAGGGCAGCATATAGGAAAAGGTGGCCTGTGGCAGCAGTCAGGGGGCCTGGGATGTTAGCTAGGTCTCTGCTTCCCCAGCACATGGAGTTTTTATTTCATCAGGAATCTCTGTAAGGAGAAAGAAGAAAGTTGCTTTTTTTAATCTTCACCCAAGGATATGCTTTTGTTGTTGTTTGTTTGTTTTAATTGATTTGAAAGAGAGGGGAAGGGGGAGAGAGAAACATCTATCAGTTGCCTCCTACATGCGCGCCGACTGATGCTCAAACCGGCAACCTTTTGGTGTGTGGGACTGTCCTCCAACCAACTGAGCCACCCAGCCAGGACAGAAGAAGGTTGCTTTTAGCAACCATCATTCCCTTGTCTACACCAGACACTCCTTCTGAACCCAAAACAGTGATACCACATTGGAGCATTTATATGTGATACTGTTTACTTCATGTTCTTGAAGCTCTTCTACAGAATCTCTGTTTACTTGGCAGTTCCAGGCACTGCCGTCTCAGCCAACCCTGGATATCTCTTACGAGCTGTGGAGCTATTTTCCAGAAAAAGATTTACAGAAACACCTCACCTGCTTGGCCCGTGTCCAGATAGGCTTTTCTGGGAAGACAGGTAGCCTTCTTCCAGGTTACCATTATACACATCATAGGGACTCTGAAAGGAAACAAGAAGCAGGAAATGGCCATTGCAGAGACACATGAGACCTGGAATCCTGTGAGAAGAGAATCCACTTTCCTCTAGCACTTGCCCAACTGTCCCACATAACATTTGGCCTGGAAACAGGCCACCCACAGCTTTGCCTTCCTCTTCCTCATTTGCATTAGGAGTCAAGCCAGCTAGATGCCTGGGCATTTGTGTTCAACATCCCTGGCACGGAGGAGTCATACCTTGTAATGCAGTGGGGCAGACACTGAGCAGTATGTGCGGAAGGAAAGGTTCTCTTTACCCAGCCTGGAGGTGGTGTGCAGTGACACCCATGGCCACCCGGGAAAGTGGTGGGATTGGCTGTGGTGCTGATAGCCTGCAGTGGCATGCTCTGGGACACTTCACCCACAGAGGGGCTCAGTACAAACAGTGGAACAGTGTTTCCAACCTGACTTTTGTCTTATACCAGAAGCTTATGGATAATTGAGGGGATAGTGACTAAGTATGTGTTTCATTCCTATTTAAGAGGCAGTACAGAGTCAGACAAACTCCAGTTTTAATCTAGGCACCACTCATTTTTGGTTGTTTAATTATAGAAGGGTTACTTAGCTTTTCTGAATCTCAGATTCGTCATCAGTAAATTGAATGTGAGGTTTTTATGAGGATTAAATAAGATTATACAGGCAAAATGCCTAGCATGGTACCTGGCATTTGTTAGGTGCTCAAATTAGCATTCAGGAGTGCTATTGTGTTTTCCCTATATTTACTGTACTTTTTCAGTTTATTCATTTAACAGAATATTGAGCACTTACTGTGTTCCAGACACCGTACTGGGGACATCAGCTGGAGGATGTCCCCTAATTTGATGAGTAGCCCATAATAAAGCTCAGTGCAATAGAAACAATGATGGTGGCATGCACAGAGATGAGACATTCTGTTAGAACCAGGGAGTGCAGGAAGGCTACCTGAAGAAGGTGATATTTGAGCTGGTCACTTAAGTCTGGTGAAAGAGAAGGAAAGCGCTCCAAGGAGCAGCACTTGTAAGGATATGAAGGTGTGAGATAACAGATGCACATGAGGAACCACAAGTGGGGTATTTTTCAGGGTGTACCTGCCTGAAATTTCATTTCCTTAGTCCTTTCCTCCCGTCACTGGGTGTGTCCGTTTTGTTAAATTGGTGGGGCAAGATGTGGATCCCCGAAAGGAGGCTACGTGAGCTGGGACTGAATCTGTTGAGTGTACGCAATGGATACACTCACGTATGTCTTGTAAAGCCACTGGCAGGATCTGACTTTCCGTTGCATGTGATTCTTTACAAGTGCACATCATTCCCTGCACAGTATTTCCAGAATTTGGATTTGGTGGAGGTCCTTTTTCTGTCACCTTAATTTGAGGTTCCTGGCATCAAAATCTAGTTGTAGCATTGATGCTCTTTTTAGCCCACTGTCATTTTGCGTATCAGCAGTGATGAGTTGTGGGGTTTGTACTCTACTTGAGAAAGAATCCACGTAGGTCAGTCTTTGCAGGGAAAGAGGGCGATGTTGTGTGGCTTTTGCGGGCATTTTGTTGGCAGACAGCACCCAATAGTTCCTGTAGCTGTAAACTGGAATCATGGGTCTTCCTTCGCCATTATCCTCATCAAATACAAGGTCTTCTCCCTGTTGAAGTTTGTGTTTTAAATGTAACTTGAACAAAAGAAAATTCTCTGCTAATTCCTTCCCTCTAGCCACTCTAAAACAATTGATGAGGAGGCCAGGATTCCATTTAGAATTAGCCCAGATGAGTGACTTATAGAAGGGCTTGTTCCCCCCACTCCTTCCTTGGATGCTTTCATGAAAGCTGGCCCACTTTTCCCTGCAATTGTGAAAACGGGAGAATATTTTGCACATTTGATTTAGAAAGTAAGTGACCATGCTGAATAGACTGTTTGGGACCCAGAACAGTCTTGTTCAGAGATTTTGCTTTAGAAGAAACATTAAATGAGGAAACATACGAGACAGGCTCTCCATCCCTGAGATCAGCCCAAACTGAAGCCTGGGATTTGGACTAAAGAAAGCTCCTACCCTCTTCTTCTGGCCTCTGTATTCGACTCTCTGAACTCTCCTGACCCACTGTGGCTGCTGGAAATAAAGTCATTTTAAGTAAAAAATGTTGGTATCTACTTCCATATTGTGTCTTCTATTTCCCTCCAACACATGGGATGGAATTTAAGTCTGTACAATTGGCAAGACTGTTGAAGAGATGAAGTTACCGTCTCAGCTCCAGAATGAACCCCAGAGGTCAGCAGGGGATCCTCTGCCCATATCTGAAACTGTCACACTTAGCTATGAGAACCAGGGGCTTTTGAGAGTTGGTCAGGGAACATGGATGTAAAATTTGTTTCTTGAGTGATCTTTGACCTTTCAGAATTGTTTGATCAGTAGGAAGATTTTGGCTGGTTTCTCTGCCACCTCCAGACTTGCCTTATGCCTAGCCATGCTGGTGTTAGGGGAGGGAAGGAGGCCACTCGTGTAAAGTTGTAGATCGTGAGAAAAAAGATGTGTTTTGTTTTGTTTTGCTTTTTTAGAGAGAGGAAAGAGCTCTCTAAGTGAGAGAGTGGCAACATTTGAACAGACTCTCAATGGCAGAGCCTTAAAGTCCCAGTCCTTGGGACTTAACCAGTCCTAAACCTGTAGCCAGGTTTGATTGTGTGAAGGCAGCAGGAACAACCTAGAAATCTAGTGTTCTCTCAGGGCCCCAAATGATGACCAAGACTGATCATCCAGGAAATACTGAAGTGGGACTCTTGCTTACCCAAGGACCACTTCCACATTGTATTTGTTCTTCTGGGACTGTAACATTCCCAATTGTTTCCCCTTCAGGCTGACGGACTTCAAGGATGCAGCTGTTGCTACTGGAGTTGTGTGACACCTTGCCTGAGCCGGGCTATGAGGCCATGTGGCCATGATGTGGGCCCCTCATGGCCTCAGCAGGAACAGAGCACTACAGTATTGGCCAGGGAAACAGCTTTAAACAGAGTGGCACCTTGGGCACAGTGCCTGCCCCACCACCCAAGAAAACCTCTGAGGGCCAAGCCTGGTCTCAGGTTCATCAGCAGGTGAAGCCAGTCTGGAAGCTGGAGAAGAGGCAAGCAGAGACCCTTTCAGCACGGTTGGACCCACGCCTCTTGCGTGTCCCCCCCCAGCCAGCATATTTCTTTTGCCCCAGCACTTCCTGTAGCTCTGGGCCCGCAGCTGCCCTTGCAGGCCACAGCAACGCCTGTTACCTGCCTCCTCTCCCGGACCTGTTAAGCAGTTCCCTGCTGTGCTGCCACCCCAACTATAGGCACAAAACATACCAGCCGCTGGAGTCTCTCTGCTTGTGTTCAAGCCCATCAGAAAAAAACAAACCTTTTTATCTCCCTCAAAAGAGCCTCCCTGTCAGACTCACTGCCAATCAGGCCACTCCCACGGTCTCCCCCATGGCCCAGCCCGGGGTGTCCTCATCTACAGATCTGTACCTCTCCCTGGGAGCAGCTGGGGAGAACCCCTCAGGGAAGAGGCTGGCCTCTGCCGTCTCAGGGAATATCCCATTTCCGCTCTCCTCCCCTTCCTCCTCCTACAAGGCCATGCTAAATAACAACTCCATGCAGCCAAACAGCACTAAAGTGCCTTTATCACAGGCCACAGAGGGCCTGAAGCCAGTATCCTCCCCCAAGATCCAGCTTGTCTCCTGGCATCATTCAGGGGGCACTGGAGACTGTGCATTCCAGCCAATCGAACACAAGGTACCCAAGAGCAATGGCCTTGTCCTACATGGTGCCCTTGCACATAGCACCCTATCTACCCCTAGCTCCTTAGACACTTCCACCACCAGTGTTGCCTCCCCGCAGTACAACCAGAGTAACTTAGCCATGCAGATAAAGCCACATCCCTGTGGCCTGGATGGTGACTCCGTTTCTCAGGCTCTGACCAAGGAGGTTCAATTCACTGAGGCCGTGAGGAAGTTGACTGCAAGAGGCTTTGAGAAGCCGAGGCAAGGCTCCCAATTTGAACAGTCTTGTTTTGTGAGCCCCAGAATGCAGTGGGATCTCCTCAACAGGCACAGGCGGTGGAAACCCCCTGTGGTAGGCCAGCAGTTCCCTCAGGATGCTGCTGGGGCAGACAGTAGGACCCTCCCTGGAGCCTCGGACACCTTGGAGGTGGACAGTACAGTCTTTTGCACCAAACGCATCAGCATTCACCTCCTTGCCTCACACAACAGTGGGCTCAGCCACAGCCCTGCCTGTGGACCTGTGATCGACTCCCTGCCACCTGGAGAAGACAAAACTCCAGCTCTGCCTTCTCCCCCTCAGCCCTTTGGCTTAGCTGATGTGGCCACTGGCCTCTCCTCCATCCATCTTGGGAAGGAGGGGCCTGAAGAAGCCAGGGAGCTGGACTCACCTGCTAAGGATACTGGGTAAGTTGGAGAAAGTTTGTGGTTCATTTAGAGCAGTATATACCAAAACTTGCTGACACTGACCCTGTGTCTCTGAAGGTTGGTTTTATTTTTTAGCTGCCCTAGAATTACGGTTTTNGCAATGTATATACCAAAACTTGCTGACACTGACCCTGTGTCTCTGAAGGTTGGTTTTATTTTTTAGCTGCCCTAGAATTACGGTTTTCCCTTTAGGGCAGAGGTCAGCAAACTACAGCTTGCAAGCCAAATCCGGTACACTGTCTGCTTTTGTAAAGTTTTATTGAAACACAGCCTCCACCATTATTTTACTACTGTTGCTGCGGTAGGGTTGAGTAGTTGTGACAGACTGAATGACCCACAAAACTGAAAATATTTACTGTCTGGTCCTTTAGAGGAAGAGTTTGCTGACTCCTGCCTTAGGTTATAACCAGGGAGAAATTAAAATTTCAAACACACAAGTTGGGGCCTGTGACTTTTCTACTTAATTCCTAACCAAATCAGGTAAATCATTCTTGGTATGACAGCTGTTTCAGAGTTAGGGCATACATGTACTTGGTTTCTTCTCCTGGCCCCTTGTTACTAACTTGCTTCACCAAGGCCTTCCTTGTTCTTAGTTCCTAGAGTGGTCTTGGGACTTTGAAGTCAATTACCAGACATTCACTGATGGTATTTTGAATGCAGAATTTTTGACTTATATGCTCTGAAGGACTTCAAAGAAGATGGAAGACATAGTGCCTCTCTGCAGAATAGGGGATGTAAGGTTGAGGAACTATGGCTAGACCTATGCTCTGAAGGCAAAGGAAATAAATTGTGAGATTCAGGCAAGAGACAGCAGGTTGGTGACTGGGGAAGAGACAAACACTGGGAGTTGATGAAGGAATGAGAATCTAACTGTGACCTCTTTTATGGAATTGACTGGGCTTGGGCCATGATTCTCTTATAGTTCAGCTACTGACCTCCAGCTAGACCAGGTTGAGGCTGAAGATGTAGAAGAGCTGGTAGATGGTTTGGAAGACTGCTGCAGCCATGATGAGAATGAAGAGGAGGAGGGTGAGTAGGGGACCCTCTCACCTCCAACTGGGAATTGGTCACCACCACTAAGGAAGAGGGCTAACAATTGTGTACTAGGTCCTTGACCCACTTTATCACCTGCATTACTCATTCACCTTGGGGGTCCAAGGGTGGTGGGTAGTGGCTTTTGAAGGACTTTGTTTTCTAGTCCTTCTGTCCCACCAGTCTTGCTTTCTCCCTGCTGCTGTCGAGCTCAAGGAAGGCAGTGCAAGGCAGCAGGGTGGTGCTCGTGGCTCCGCAAGAAGGCTGAGCCAGGATGTCCAAGGAAGAGCTGTCTAGGCTTGGTGAGTTTGTATAGCAGCCTCTCCTATTCAGAACTACTCTGCTTTCCCCCCACCAGGAGACTCAGAGTGCCCCTCATTCAATGCTGTCTCTCCCAGCGAGTCGATAGCAGTGATCTCTCGGTGAGTGTTGATTGTGTAGATCGTTGGTAGATGCTCATTTTTGGTCTCTTTAGGATTATAGAGATTAATCACCTAAGTCATTAATGACCCTGTTGACCTCCACTCATTTTTACCAGATTTTTTACATTTGGGCTTTAGTTTTCAAACAAGGAGCAATAGAAGGGACCAGAAACATATTTTGTCAGTTGGACTTAAAAATAATATCATGCTTCTTAGGCTACAATTTGGTCTTTATGCTCCAAGAAATCATTCAAGTAATAGACCACTAATTGGAGCTTTTTGAAATGCTCTTTTGCTGCCTTCTGAGGTTAGTTTTATATTGGGAAATAAGACTGGCATTAGCCTTAGTAATAAGAAATTGAATTAAAAATTCTCTAGCTTTAATCTAGATTATTTTATTGATTGCCCTTGGTAGAATCTGAGTGATACCAATCTATCTCTAACTAGGGACCCAAAAAGTTGATCTCTTGATGTAGGCCCTTCTTTTGTGAAACAGGTAGTTGTAGGATGTTGCATATAACTGAGATGGGGAGTTGGGGCAGAGGAAGGAATGCGGGACTCCTATGAGGAAATTAGTGTAAATGAGGACATCTCACTGTGCTAAAGATTTTTAGAACTTGCTAAAAGATCATATATACTACCTTTCTGAATAGAAAGGTAACATTCTTCAGCAGCATCTTCTTTGTTCCCCTCACCACTTCCAGCCTTGTCTTTCAATATGAGGCTTTGCCATCAATTATAGTGTTTTATTAAATATTAAAAAGCCCCCCTCCCAAAGTACTAAGCATTAAAGTTTTTTCTTTTAAAAATAACTTCTATTGAAAATGTATATATATAAAATTGGAGTTTTGTTTTTCTACTATGTATATATATATAAAATTGGAGTTTTGTTTTTCTATTTTATTGATTGATTGATTGATGGATCTGAGAGAGAAAGAGAGAGAGAAACATTAATTTGCCGTTCCACTTATTTACGCGTTCATTGGTTGATTCTTGTATGTGCCCTGATCAGAGATTGAACCCATAACCTCGGTGTATTGGGATGACACTCTAACCAACTGAGCTCCCTGGCCAAGGCTCTATTTTATTTTCAATTAAAATTTTCTATTCTAATTATAATAAATTCAGTCATACATGTCAAGGCTTGCCTAACATGTGGTGCACCCAGACTCAGGTTGCTTTTCTCTGCATCAGCTGTGCCTTAGATGAAGCTAAGAGGAGAAGGAGCTTTCCATGCCTTGGTTAGTATGGATGAAGCAAACTACATACATCTCTGTAAATACAGTGGTGGCAGCAGCTATACCAATTATAGAGCCCCAAACCAGCAAGGCAGAGAGAGCTGTTTGGAAAGTGCAGAGACAGAATTGGAACTTTCTGTGAAGGTGGATAGAAATCCTGTCATAGGTACCCTAGTCTGGTGCATAAATTCTGTTACTTTAAGCCTAATGCATCCTCCTTTCAGAAAAGCAAAGCTACTTCTGGTTGTATATATTGGATGTTGACGAAGTACCTCCACTCTCTCTAAGAGAAAGATATTTAACATGTAATTGACTTGGAATCCCACCTTTTTCATGTTTAAGGGTGATTTGGGTTTGTTTTCAGGCCTACTTCAAGACAGCTGCATAGCCTATAATTTAACCTTTCTGATTTATAAGATAAAATTCACAAAAGGTGTTTGTCAATAATTTGTTCATTAATTTAACTCCTACAAAATGCACAGACCTTATTTACTTGAGGCTTAAGAAACATTATCTGAGGCTTTTCAAGCATGTGGAAGTTGAGGAATTCCAGCCATTTTGAATTATAAGGATGACTAAAATCGAAATTCTTTTGGATGGCTAAAATCGTATTTTCCCCAATTATGAAAAATTTATATATTTATTATAGAAAATTTGCAATTACAGAAAGATCATTGAAAGCACTACTTCTTTTTCTCTACCCAGTAATTAATAGTTTTTTGCATTTCCACTTCCATATTTTTTTCTAAGAACCATGTAATTTTAGAGATGGAGGTTATCAAGTCCATCTTCTTTTTTCAGATGTAAATTGAGGACCAGGGAAGTTAAGTAGCTATTGCAAGGTCATAGTTTTCAGCACTGCTAGACCAGAAGCCAAGCCTTTTCAGGATAAGTCCAGCACTCTTGAGAGGCAGCTAACAAAAATGTTCTCTTTTTATTATTAAACTTTTTTAAAAAAAACTTTTGATTTTGAGACAATTGTAGATTCACATGCAGTTGTAAGAAATAATACATAAATATCCCCAGAATTATTTACTCAATTTCCCCCTACGGTAACATCTTGCAAAACTATGGTATATTGTAGTACAACCAAGTTACTAACATTAGTCAAGATACATTTTCATCACTGCAAGAATCCCTGCTGTTGCTCTGGTAGCCACACCTACTTCTCTCCTACTCCCATCCCCTCTTAACCCCTGGCAACCACTAATTTCTATAATTTTATCATTTCAAGAATGGCCCGGCCGGCCGTGGCTCAGCGGTTGAGCATTGACCTAGGATCCAGGCGACCAGGGTTCGATTCCCATTCAGGGCACATGCCTGGGTTGCGGGTTCGATCAATGACTCTCTCATCATTGATGTTTCTATCTCTCTCTCTCCCTCTCCTTTCCTCTCTCTGAAATCAATAAAGATATATTTAAAAAAAAGAATGTTATACGGCCTGGCTGGGCGTGGCTCAGCGGTTGAACATCGACCTATGATCCAGCAGATCAAGGTTCGATTCCCAGTCAGGGCACATGCCCAGGCTCGATCCCCAGTCAGAGGTGTGCAGCAGGCGGCTGATCAATGACTCTCTCATCATTGATGTTTCAACTCTCTCCCTCTCTCTCCCTCTCCCTTCTTCTCTGTGAAATCAATAAAGATATATTTTTAAAAAAAGAAAAAAAGAATGTTATACAAATGGAGTGATGTAACCTTTTGGGATTGGCTTTTTTAATCAGCATATTCTCTGCAGATTCACCCAGGTTGTTGTAAATATCGATAGTTCATTCCTTTTTATTGCTGAGTAGTATTCCATGGTATGGATGTACCACAGTTTGTTTAACCATTCACTGTTGAAGGATATTTGGGTTGTTTCCAGTTTTGGGCTGTTACGAATAAACCATCATGTACATAATTTTACATGAACGTAAGTCTTCATCTCTCTCAGTTAAATACCCAGTAGTGCAATTGCTGAGTCATCTGGCAATTGCATGTTTAGTTTTTTAAGAAACTTCCAAAACTGTTTTCCAGAGTGGCTGTACCATTTTACATTTCTATCTTGTCTTAGCCTTTTTTATTTTATTTTAATTTTTTTCAGTTACAGTTGACATACAATGTTATATCTGTGTTTCACTTGCTTGTTTGTTTTCTTTAATTAATTCTCCTTGATTTTCAACAATCTTAAATTCTGATACTCAGTAAATTAAAAGCCTTTGAAGTAAAATATTTTGGAAATGAAGAATAAAGTTGAATTAATTGGAATTATTTAATTGGAAATTAGTATTTAACTTGACCCAATAAAATTCATTAAAAATCTCTATGGTTTAAGAGACTAATGTTTTACATACTGTGCCTATTTCTGTTGTGCTGCAAAATAACAGGTAGAATGGCTTTTTATAAACTAAAAATCTTAAATAGTAATATTTGTGGATCCTAGTAATACTCTTCTCTCCATTTTCAGTTCTATTTAATAAAATGTACCTGATACATAGTGGAGATATTCACTGTTCTGAGACCCCTTGAGATAGCCTTGGCCGAGCCATTGTTGAAACAGTTGTAGGGACCCCATGGCCCATTGCCCCAGATTCCCAGGCCAGCATTACCTTCCTATTACATAACAATCTGGTGTCAAACCATTTCCCAAAAGGAAGAGAGCATTAATCTGCCATGTTTATCTTCAGAGAAACCTAAATATAGAATGAATTAGAAGCATCACTATTTCTTTTCTTCCTGTTGCTTTTCCCCTTTTTCTTTTCAAAAATCTTTCTACCTCATCTTAGGTCTTTTCTGCTTTTCTCCTTTTTTAATGATCCATCTCATTATTTCTCTCTTCATTTATTTCTCTTTGTCTTAGTGTAGCATATTCCTCTACTAGTATCCATCCGAACTCATTACCTGCTCTCAGAACCACTCTTTTCAGTGAATTCCCCAGCCTGTGGCTTGTCACAGGGAATTTTGGAGCTATATCACAGAATGAAGTATTGGAAACCCTTGCCTTTAGGTGACATTTAATGGTGTGGCTGTATATAGGTTAGCCCTAGCACCTTGTTGATAAATATTTGCAAAATAATTATTGAGCACTTGTCTTTGTAGAAGTACAGTTTAAAAGACAGCATCCCCAAGGAAATTATATGTAATAGTAACAGTGCTTCAGGCTGTGGCTTTCCCTTTCTGTACCACATGTCTGTTTCCCTTCTTAGGGGCTGCATGGAGGCTCTGACCAAACCTCTTTCCAATGAGAAAGTTGTCCGACCAGCCCTCGTCTACAGTCTCTTTCCCAACGTGCCTCCTACCATCTATTTTGGCACTCGGGATGAGAAAGGTAAACCTGGACAAGTATTTAAGCCCAGAAGAGCCCCCAGGAGAAGGATGCTAGCGAAGTTGGAAGGAAGTGGCAAAGGATGGGAGGGGCTTTCCGGAATGGCTGTTACGGTGCTCGGTTCCCCACCTGGTTCGTGGTCCGATATGGAGAACTTTTTCTTGTCCATCCTTAAGCTGACCCTTCTCAACCCCATAACCTCATGCTTGGATCTTGCCCTCTAACCTTGTTTCCCCTTTCAACTTCCCCTCCTGTCTGTGTTTCTCATTCTTGTGCAGCCCCCTTTCTTCCCCTTTGATCTGGAGCAATACTTAGTGACTTACCTACCCAGGAAAGGTTGAGCAATAATGCCATCTCTTTTTTCTAACCATGACTCTCCTGCTCTTCTCTACCCCCAAATCCCACTTTCCCTCAGTGGAGAAACTTCCCTGGGAGCAGAGGAAGCTGCTCCGGTGGAAGATGAGTACAGTGACCCCCAATATTGTCAAGCAGACCGTTGGACGGTCCCACTTCAAAATCAGCAAGAGTGAGTCACTTCCCTTACTGTGAGTCTGTCCTCAGCCCCAACAGATGGGCTTTGGGAAGGAAGGGAGCCCTGGATACCTCCTGCAATATGGGGATCCTGTCCTGAAGGTGCCAGCCTCACAGGATGTAGCTCTGAACTCCCTCTGGGCTGGAGCCTATTCCTCAAAATTGGAAGACAGAGGGCCATTGTTCTATCTCTGACCCCAGGGTTCATGCAGGACATCTCCATGGTAACTCTTAGAAAATAGGGTCTGGGAGCTATGCCCAGCCCCAGTGATATTTCTGGGACGTCTGGGCCTCTCTCTGTCCCAGGGACTGACTCCCTGCTGTGTCTTCTATAGAAAATGATGACTGGCTGGGCTGCTGGGGTCACCACATGAAGTCTCCTAGTTTCCGATCCATTCGGGAGCATCAGAAGGTAGGGTCCCTTTCTGAGTTGCTCTTCTTCAGGAGTTTGGACTATGTAGGAGGAGATTGGTATCGGGGGGAGAGGTGGATGACACAGAGAAGTCAGGAAGGCTTATAGAGGAGTGGAGAAAGTAGAGGAGAGGGTGCAGTGTGAAACTGTAGTAGATCATGCACATTTAGCAGCTCAGCTGCAGTGATTTGGGCAGCCGCAGCCTCTCAAAGACACTATTCTCTACTATGTCTAAAGATGCAGCATCTGTTTTCAGTTTATTATGTTTCCCCTATAACCACTGTGCTTTGCCTCCCTTTCTCAAGCTGAATATGTGTAAAGAAGACTCTGGTCTCACATTGGGACAAATGAGTCCCTTGTCCCAGCCTTACTGAAGGCCAGGTGCTTTCCTGCCTTTGTCCTACAGGGTATTGTGTAAAAGACTTACTAGCTTTTTCTTTGCACTTAAGGTGGATGTCATGTCTGCCTTAATCACTGTTAGATGTCATGGACTATCAACTCCTGGAAGGCACTAAATTTTGTTGTTTTGTTTGTCTTTTAATCATCTTTTGGTGAGTGACTGGCAGCTGAATACTTGAGGCCCATGAGATGGTGATAAGATGGAGCAGGAGCTTAGGAAGTTGCTAAGGAAGTTGGAGTGGGAGTGAGTCCTGCCATCTTCCTCATGGTCTTACCTCAGCCCTCTCCCTGCCCTCACCCTCTGTCCCTCCTGTAGCTAAACCACTTCCCAGGTTCATTCCAAATTGGGCGAAAGGACCGGCTGTGGCGGAACCTATCCCGCATGCAGAGCCGCTTTGGCAAGAAGGAGTTCAGTTTCTTCCCCCAGTCCTTTATCCTGCCCCAGGATGCCAAGCTCCTGCGCAAAGCCTGGGAGAGCAGCAGCCGCCAGAAGTGGATTGTTAAACCAGTGAGTGGATCACAGTGGGGTAGTGGGCATGGTGTGAGAGTGGGAGCAACAGAGGATTGGTCATGAGTAGATCTCATCTCCTTTGCACTTCTAGCCAGCATCAGCTCGAGGCATTGGCATCCAGGTCATTTATAAGTGGAGTCAGCTCCCTAAGCGAAGGCCCCTTCTGGTGCAGAGGTGAGTCTGCCTCCATCTCAGATCCTGCTCCCCATTTTCTCATTTCCTGGGCCTGGAAGTCCCCTTTTTACCATGTTCTTCTCCCCTTTGTCCTCCCAGCCAGAGACCATCCTCAGCCAACTGTTTTAGTCTTTATCTCAGGGACTGTTGACTGGCTTGTACATGGCTCAGTTACCCGCTGAGCCCTATCTCATCTATCATGTTCCTGAGGCTGGCCTTTCCCTATGTAGGTATCTGCACAAACCCTACCTCATCAGTGGCAGCAAATTTGATCTGCGAATCTATGTTTACGTCACCTCCTATGATCCCCTACGGATTTACCTCTTTTCAGATGGACTCGTCCGCTTTGCCAGTTGCAAGTATGTGCGAGTGGTGAGGTGTCACCCTAACTGCTTTGGGGATTTGCTTTCCTGAGAGGGAGGGAAACTGGAGGACACCCAACAGAAAAACAATAAATCTTCTGGTAGTTTTCATTAGCAAAGGAGAGGGTGGGATATATTTGGGAAAACCTAGTCTTCCTTTCCTATGATCTCGTTTTACACAAAACACTTGCCTCCTGACACTTCTGGTCACCAAATATATGGGCTTTTTCCCATACCAAGCAAATCTGCGATACCAGCTGGTGTCCCACAGTGTAACTCAGTTCTGACACCATCTTCCTGGGGATAGCATCAGATCCCAAAGGTTAAGGGCTCAGCCTCACAAAGCTACCCACTGCCCACTTCACATGCCACTCACAAGTCCGCGTTGTCGCATGTGCTTCTTAGCCATCGGCTGTAAATCAGAGGTTCCCATGTCCCACTCCTAGGGTTCCGTTAATTTGGTAGAGTGGCTCACAGAACTCAGAAAAATAGTTTACTGGTTCATTATGAAAGAACAGGATAAAGGATATAGATGAACATCCAGATGGAAGAGATGTGTAGGGCAAGATACATGGGAAGGGGTATGGAGCTTTCATTCTTTCTCTGGGTGCACCATTTTCCCAACACCTCCACATGTTCACTTCCCCAGAAGCTCTCCAAACCTCATACTTTTGGGGTTTTATGGAGGCTTTATCACATAGGCATAAAGAATCATTAACTCCATTTTCAGCCCATCTCCCTTCTCAAGAGAATGAGGGGCCAGGTTGAAAACTCCAACCATGGCTTGGTTTTTCTGGTCACCAGCCCTTACCCAGGAGCCCCCCCAAATTCTTCTCATTAGAATGAAACTCTTATTACCCAGGACATCACAAGGATTTCAGGAGCCCTGTGTCAGGACCGGGGCCAAAGGCCAAATATTAGAACAAAATATGTTCCTAGTGTTCTTATCACTTAGGATTTTACAAGGGTTTTAGGACCTCTGTGTCAAGAATTGTGAGCAAAGACTGATATATATATATTTCTTATTATAAGTCACAATATCACACGAGGAATGGGAAGTAAGGAGGTTCTCTACTTCACTGAGTCTGGGGAGGGTCTTCCTCTAGGACTGGGGTGGGATGTGGGATAAAGGAGAGGAGTTTAGCTGTGGTGTTCTAGGAACCTTACCAACACATGTACCTCTGAGGCTCTTGTGCAGCTCCTCAGGATTTAGAAAAGTGTTTGGACCATTGATTAACTGCTCTCTTACCATCTTACCTCTACCTTTCTCCTCCTTACTTCCAGGTATTCCCCTTCCATGAAGAGCCTTGGTAACAAGTTCATGCACCTGACCAACTACAGTGTCAATAAAAAGAATGCTGAGTACCAGGCTAATGCAGATGAAACGGCCTGCCAAGGCCACAAATGGTACCTAGGCAGTGTCCCTGTCCATGGAGACCTAGAGGAGCACAGGGTTCTGGGGTTTGGGGAGGTTCAGGGAGATGATGAATGGAAAATTAATGTAAGACCCAAAGATTATTTCAACATCTGGCAATTCAGAATTGGTCTGTTTGCATCCAAGCTCATCTCTGTCTTAATTCAAACATTGAAAGAAGAGAGATATGAAAATACCTTTGTGCTTCTTATTTTTCTTTCTCTTCATCACTCAATTCATAGAATATAACCCTAAATACTCCCACCCCCTCCCCCATGTTGCAGGGCACTGAAGGCTTTATGGAATTACCTGAACCAGAAGGGAGTCAACAGTGATGCCATCTGGGAGAAGATAAAGGATGCTGTTGTCAAAACCATCATCTCGTGAGTCACACTGACACCTGGTATGGGGCCTGCCACTGAAGCCCCTCTTTTCTTATGGGTTCCACACTGCTGTGCTCCAACCTTGACCATGCTGTGTTTCAGTTTCTGAGAACAGGGAGTAGGGAGGAATGGATGGAGTTAAATTCTGCTCTTCTATGAAATCCATCCCCAGAAGCTAGCCTCACATCAGGGGCCTCTCTTGAGAGCTGCCTTTCCTGGGTTGCTTCTGCTCTCCCCCCCCTGGGCCGCTCCATTGACAGGGAAGCTCTGGGTAAGGCCTTCCTCCTCCCTGTGGCCAGGTCAGAACCCTACGTGACCAGCCTGCTGAAGATGTACGTGCAGCGGCCCTATAGCTGCCATGAGCTCTTTGGTTTTGACATCATGCTGGATGAGAACCTTAAGCCCTGGGTCCTGGAGGTCAACATTTCCCCGAGGTCAGTGGTGGTCTCAGGGCACAATCAGCAGAACCCTTTCTTTATCCTCATGACCCTTTTTCTGCTCGTCTTACTGACTTTGGGAAGACTTTCATTAGAATTTGTTTTCCTTCAACATCTGTTTGCTCATTTACTCACTTTATCATATCTCAGAGTTCTTTGAGGGTGGAGCAAGGTTGTTAAAATTTGTTCTTTTGAACTTCCTACCACCACTTGCTTTTCCCTAGCAAATGAAGGTCATGGGCTGAGTAAGATTATTCACTATCTGTGGGGCAAGAAGACGCCCATGATGGTGCTCATGAGTTTGAATGTCAGAGTCCTTTTATCCTAGGGAAGCAGGGAGTAAATGGGGCTGGCACTGACCTAGACATATGATAAGAAACAGTTCTGGAGTGTTTTTACCACTCTCTCCATCCTTTCCTTGAAGCCTCCACTCCAACTCTCCGTTGGACGTCAGCATCAAAGGCCAGATGATCCGGGACCTTCTGAACCTGGCAGGCTTTGTTCTTCCCAACACAGAGGATATTTCCAGCTCTAGCAGCTCCAGCAGCTCCACCACGAGGTCAGCCTCATTGCTTATCTGCAGCTCTGCTGCAGCATGAACGGCCCCATTGTGACTTTGAGAAGGAATGATGTCTGGGTGCTTCCCGCTGCTCGGTCTCCTTTGCTGCTTGACCTGCCCCTACAGTCTACCTACACACCTCTGCCACGCCTGGCCTCTAAAAGCACATTTGGTTGCACTGCTCACCTGCTCAGGAATCTCCACAGGGCCTGGGGACTCAGCTTTCAACTCTTCACATTCAAGGCCTCAGCCTCCTTTTCCCGGGCAACCCTCCCTTTACTCCTCTTCTGGTTTCCATGCTCTGACAGTCACTCAGAGAACGTCAAGGTTGGAAGGATCCTTAAAGATCAGTTAATCCACTCTACTCTCTGAAATGTTCGTTGCCTGTCACTGTTTCCCCATAGTGTCCCCTCCTTTGCTCATAGTGTTTCTTCCTCTTGAAATTCCCCTCAGCCAGACCTCCCCGTTTCGACTTCACCCATCCATCAAAGCCTAACTCAAGGCAGCATCTTCATGCAGCCAGCTCTGTGTGGGCTCTCTCCATACCGCCAAACCACTCAAAACCACTCTTGAGGGAAGGGAACCAATATTTAGCCAGTGCCTGCGTTGTGTATGGAAAAACCTGCAGCATCCCCACAGCGGCCCCATGAGGCTGGTGTTGGTGCCCTCACTTTACAGAAGAGGAAGCTGAAAATCACTGGGATTAAGTAGCCCATCTAAGGTTATCTGTCTACAAAGTGGTAGAACTGGAATTCAATTCCTTCGTTGCCAGTAACGAAACTTGCTTTCCCCACCATACCTTGGAGACTCATGTTTGGCTCTGTGCTATAGTTACTTGTCATTTGACACCTGCCATCCTGTGAGCTCCTGGGAGGCCATCTGTGTGTCTTGGTAGTGACTGGTAATAGGGATGATGAAACTCTGGTGCAGAGTGGTCAAGTCATCTGTCCAGGGCCACATAGCCAGTAGGGTTGAGCGGGGTACTTAGCAAGTGTTCACTAAATTAAACTAAACTGAAGATAGCGCAATTATTCCAGGCCCTTTTTTTTTTTACTATTGAAGTACAACCTAGAGAGGGCACTTTTTACTCCTTACATTTTCCATGGTACTTGCTCTTTGACTCTCAGACAGGCTGCTTGAATGAGGTGTATTGCAGACTGATCTACTCAAGCTACTCAAGTAACTTCTGTCCATACTTCTTTGTGTTTTGTTGAGAAGGGTGTCTTCCTGAGCTGGACCCTTTCCACATGTCCTCAGGATGTGAAGCTGCTGATCTTACCCTTTCTCCCTTTTTGCTCCCTGCCTTAGCCTGCCCAGCTCCCCCAGTGACAAGTGTCAAATGTCCCCGGAGCAATACACTGCACAGAAGTTGAAGAAAGCCTATTACCTGACCCAGAAAATTCCTGACCAGGTAGGAGATTACCTCCCCCCAGTGCCAGCAGAAAGCTTCCCTGCCTTGGAACCCCGAGGCATCTGGATTTTCTTACGTCTAAGTCAGGGTTTCCTAACCCAGGTCCACAATTCCCTTGGCTTGCAGAGATATGTTGGCATGTACATCATTCCAGGAGAGAGTTGCTGGCCGTTATCATGTGTTCAAGACCATTGCTCTTGGCAAAATGCTACACTACATGCCCCCCATTCTCAGAGCTGTAGACCCTTTGGGTTTCTTTCCCTGAGGTGCAGTGAGCCCCTGGAAGGCTTGGCTTTCTCAGAGCAGGTGAGGGAGCCATTTGGGAGAGTGGCAGACACAAGGCTATTGCCAAATCTGAGTTGCTGGATTCTGATACCTCATCCAACAAATCACTTAACCTCTGTGCCCCAGTGGCTCCCCTTACCCTGACCAAGAATATCTTCATCCCCCAGCTAAGCTCAGTAGACTTGGGAACAGGTGAGGTCCAGAGTTGGCCTACCAGGCTGCCTTGGTGGTCCCCTGAGAATCCTGGGGCCCTAGGACCCCAGAGTTGTGCACCCTGTCCCCTAGCTTCTTGATTCTCTGCCTCTGACTTATATTTTCCCTGTTCCTTGGGCCATAGGACTTCTATGCATCTGTGCTGGATGTCCTGACACCAGATGATGTTCGTGTTCTGGTTGAGATGGAGGACGAGTTTTCTCGCCGGGGTCAATTTGAACGAATTTTTCCTTCTCGAATCTCTTCTCGCTATCTCCGCTTTTTTGAGCAGCCACGATATTTCAACATTCTCACCACCCAGTGGGAACTGAAGTACCATGGCAACAAGCTCAAAGGTGATGTGTCCTCCCTGCCCACAGGAGGCCAGGTTTAGTGAGATTAAATCCCTGTAGACCAAGAAATGAGCCTCCCTGGCAAGAAGAATTGGCCAATTGATACCACCCTCTTAAGTACCACCCTTGCTAATCTTGTCCTAGGAGTAGATCTGCTTCGGAGTTGGTGCTACAAAGGGTTCCACACAGGAGCCATCTCTGATTCTGCTCCAGTGGTGAGTGATACCATTGGACGGGAGGGGTCAGTTCTGTCTTAGACTCCTCCCTCCTCTGCCTGAAGTGTGCAGTGTGGGTTGGATGGAGGTCCAGACCCTCTCACTTCTCCCTAGGCTCTGTCTTTGTGTCTCATGGCCCTTCCTTTTCAAAGGAATAATTGCCTCCAGGATTCCCTGGGTGCCTTTCTTTCAAGTATCAAAAAGTGCTTTGTAGCCTCAACTTTTTGTGTGAATAGGCAGGAAACCGAGACTTTTCCCCATGTGGGCCCATGCCTGAAGGGTAGTGAAGCCCATGATCATCACTCGGAGGCAGGGCTGGGAGAGAGTGCCAAGACCCTGAACATTTTAGCCTCATTGTTTCCTTTGCTTTCAGTGGTCTCTCCCGACATCACTTCTGACTGTCCCAAAGGGTGAGGTGACGCTTAGTACTTCCTCCAAATTGGAGACTAGCAAGCTGGGGTGAGTGCGGCTTGGGCAAGGAAAGGGTGTTGGGTGTGAGTTCAGGGACCTTTTTTAAAAATTTTTCAATTACAGTTGACATACAATGTTGTATTGATGGTATGAGTTCAGGGAGTTTTGTTCCTTTCTCCCTTCCCAGATTATGATGTCAGCATTTCTCAGTTGGTTGGTATTCAGAATATTCAGCTATACTGTCCTCTTCTTGGTGGGTCTTGGCATGCCCAGGACACTGAGCTGAGCACAGAGTCATCTGCAGAAGTGGCCACTTCCAGCCATACTCACCAGCCACAGGAAATCTTTAGCCCTCTTACCCTCACACACACTCACACTTGCACTTAAGCTGTCAATCCTTCAGATAAATAAAGTATATTTTATGATTATACCTCCAAATAATTATGGTCTATAACAGTATAATGTTGTGAATGCCCAGTCCAGACTCTGAAGGCAGATCACAAGTTGAAACCTCAGCACACAGTGTCTCAGCTATATTTCTGTCCCCATTCCCTTCAGAAAAAACAGCTCCTCAGAGGGGGTCATACCACTCTCTGAAGATAGGACTACACCCAAGCCCAAGAAGACCCATGCTGGCCTTTTTTCCTCTTTCCGCAGGAAACCCTTTTCCTCAAAAGACAGTGAGGACACCGGCAACGAGCCCAGCCTCTCCATGCAGATGTTACCTGTGAACAAGTACTCTGGGCAGACTTCGAGAGTCGCTGCTTCCTCCACCTCCCAGTCAACCGCTGACTCCCTCCTGGCTGCTGTGAACCCATGACTGGCCTGTTTCCACTGCCCAGGAGCACCAGCGTAGCTACCTCATGGGAACTGGCTGGCCGGCCGGCCAGCTGGAGCCCCTTCCCCCTCCACCTTGCCCCTCTTCAGAGTATTTTTTTGAAGTGGTGAAATTACAGAGATGGGTTATCTGGAGGGTTGGTGGGGTGGTGAGGACAGGAGAAGTTGAAGGTTCACTGGCTGGTACCTCATATCTCAGCAGAGAAGCCAATGATGGCCACTCGGCCTTATAAAGCAGGGTTTGGTTTCTACCTTCAGAGAGCCGTGTGTGGTTTGTTTTAGGCCTTGGTGCAGTGATTGACTAGAGTTCAAGAGGAGAAAACATAGTGACTATGTTGGGCCTGAAGTCCTTTGTAACTGAGGAGGTTCCTCTGAAGGTTCTCATTTCTTCAGGTCTCTTCCCTCCCTCTCTGACCAGAGGAGCCACTTTCAGAAACCGTCAAACTTCCTCAGCAGACAGCCTGGGAGAGGCCATGACATGTTGAATCCATGTCCTGTTGTGATAGTCTTGGGAGCTTCACCACCACTAGACCATTTGTCTTTTCATATGTCTACCCAGCCAGTAGCCCTGGGTCTTTCTGTCCTGACTACATATATCACAATTGGTCAGCCTTCTATCCTTCTCAATCATGGATGTTACCACTTCAACTCTTGGCTTTCTGAGGGTGAGAGGTTCTGGGAACTTGTGAATTTCCTATGGCCCCAGTGAAGGAGCCTAAGTAATCCCAATTGCTGTTGTCTGTCCATATCCTGGAGGAGAGTGGAAGGAGCTGTGATTTCCCCACAACCCAAAGGCTCATGTTCTGTTTACTCCCTTCACTGTCTCTGATCAGTGGGCTCTGGCTCACAGGTCACTAGGACAAGCAGAGTCAGGTGGCCTGGCAGATGGGTTTCAGGAGCAGTCACCCTTGTAGGATGGCTTCCAGTGGGACCACTGACTAAACTCTTGTACTCTTATCTGAATCTACCTCCTTCCCCAAGACTCAGTAAAACAGTGACTGTTCGATAAATGTTTGACCAAGTGAACTGCATAGACGAAGACCTCCAAGGACATGAGCACCTGAACCAGGTCTACTTCTCTCTCCCCTGGGGCAAAGTGGAGCTCAGGGAATCCTATGTGGGAGAGTTTGGATCAGAAAGGTTTTCACTTGAACTGTGCTCCTCCTTAACCTGGTACGTCCTAGTTGCTGCTTGCCCCGCCCCAGCCCTGTAATCCCTTTACTTTGTTTTCCTAGCAGCATGGCTCAACGAGAAGCCAGCTGGCCCATCTGTGATGCTCAAGTTTTCCCCATTGCACATCAGACAGGAAGCTCTGCTCACAGTCCCACCCCGGGCTCTGTCTTCATTCTCTGAGCTTTGAGAAGACGGGGATTACCCTTTTTCATGGCTTCTTGAGTTCCGTGGCAAGCTGGGATGGAGCCATGGAAAAATCACTAAGGGGCCTGACTTGGTTTAAGGCCACCTATGTAGGTGGATGGGCTGGCCAGTGTGCAGGCCATGTTGACAGTCGGGAGGAAAGCTTGGTGGCAGAGTCCTGGGGCAGCTCCCGCTGTTCAGTAGTAAGGACTTCAAGTTTAGGCCCAGCAGGAGAGGTCCTTGAAGCCAACTCCCTCTTGTCCTACTTGGATGCAAAAATGTCACAATTAGCCTGTGACAAGGACAGTAAGCAGCCTTCCTAAGAAAACCAGCCACCTAGTTTTTTTGTGGCTGGTCCTCTGGCCAAGGGCTTAGGTGTAGAGGGCTGCCTGAACTGGTTTACTCCTTGGAAACCAGCTTCAATCCTCTGGCCTGCCTTCTGACAGCACAACCAGTCCACTTCCATCCCTGTAACTGGAGAGTTGATGAGCATTACAGTGTGATAGGAATGGGGGCTGGAGGGAGGTGGGGAATGACTTAAGAAATTAAATGACTGATGAAAATAGGGTGTTCTTAGTAGTTTAAAACCTCTTTATACATACGTTTTTTAAAATTTTCATCACATTTGACTATCTGGTAGGTGTGTTTTGCAGGGTGGGAGAAGGAATGGGGCTTGTGTGTCATATTTCCCTTTCATCCTTGAGAGAAGATTAAATCTTGCTTATTAAGCATTCAGCATACATACTTAGCAACAAAGAACCACAGTATGAGGTATTTAGCTAAATAAGGAATTTTGGAGAAGTAATGGGATTCCTTTGAAAGTTTAAATTTGGGGGTATAGTAAGATAAATGTCAGAGCATGTCTGAATTGGCAACTTACCCAATTCTTGTTTGAGGAAGGGGGGTGCAGTATTTATTTCTGGAGCACTGGAGTGAGGACTTGGGGTAGAAGGCAAGGGGGGTGGTCACTATTGCTGTTTACTTCAGATTCACTCAGGATTGATAAAATAACTAAGTGACTTCGAGTGACTGCTAATGAAGAGGTGGCACTGTGATAGGAAAAGAGCATGGGCCTAAGAGGCTGACCTTGGCTTCAAATCTTGGTTCTGATGTAAAAGCCCTTCCACGAGGGAAGGGAAGCCGCTTCAGAGTCCGTTTAGAGGTGAAGCCCAGGACGGTTTAGATGCCTCATCAAGCCCACCTTCACCTGGGGCGCACACAAACATCATTCTGTTTCACTCTCTGTTGGGGATTTATTTCTTTGGTTAAATATTTCACAGAATGCAAATTCCCTGGCTAAGGAAGCACATTAAACATTAGAAGTATATGAATTAAATGAAATTACTGTCCTACCCCAAGAAAAGCTTTGATAAGGAGAGCAAGGGAGCAATGGGTGCCCGGTGACTGGGAAGGGGAGGAGTATAGTAAAGAAAATAGAGACCTTGAACTGGAGCTGGAGCCAAAGAACAGAAGCACCGACCCAACAGCTCTGCCAAGGGACAGTTGTCATTACAAGTTCATTCTTACGGTTTCAAGCTCTTTAGTCATCCTAGCCAAAGGACACGCCTGATTGCCCCTGGGCAATACAGCACTGGGCCAGTGAAGGAGGCTGATAATTTGGGTACATAGTTCATTCTACTTCCCTCTTCAGTTGAATTAGTTACCCAAAGGCAGCTAGGAGACCTCTCCTCTGGCTTCCTCTGGATTCGTCCTTTTAGACTAAGGCTCAGCTGTCCACTGTTCAAATGCCCCAACTGCTTTGAGAATTAGAAACATTGACGGTTTTGAGAGATATGTGGCTGAGGGTGCTCCATTTCATGCCACTCGAAATTCTGATCCAGCCCTTGAACAACCCTTGGCCTCTTAGGTTCCCCTCCCCCTAAGAGCTTGCACCCTCATTGCTGTCAAGGCTCATTTGACTCACCCTTTCATCAGCTTTGGAGCAATGAAAGCTGCAAGCAGTCTTTGTTGTTAACTCTCACCCGAGGATATTTTTCCCGTTGATTTTTAGGAGGGGGGGGAGAAACATTAATGTGAAAAAGACACATGGATTGGTTACCTCCCCCACGAGCCCCAACAGGGCGAGGGATCAAACCCGTGACCCTTTGGTGCACAGGCCAACGCTCTAACCAAAGAACCACACTGGCCAGGGCAGCAAGCAGTCTTAATGTTGTTCTTGGCAGATCTTTCATAACTGAAAGAATACCAGAAGGATCAGCAACAGGGTAGTTGTTTTCAATACCCATTTATGCTTTTATTATGTAATAGACTGAGACACAATAGCTAGAGACTGTCCTGGCAAAAGCCAACACAATTTTAAAAAGATATTTAAGTTTCAATTAGTAAACTAGGGCGATCAAAGCCTACTTCATAGGGTAGTTAGGAGAGTCAGAGAAAATATGTAAAGCACCTAGAAAAGTACCTGATAAATACTTTTAAAATATATTCTAAAACAGACAAAATTAGTAACACTACAGAAAGCATTTCTTCAAAAATTAATTGTAACAGCATGTTACTATTACAAAACTGATAAAATATCCTTTGATTCTATCCATGGAATACCAAACTTGCGGATTTAATCAAGATAATTAGCTTTGAAAGGTTAGTTGTCCTAACATTACCCTAACAGTTGTCAGGGAAATGCAATTAAAATTATAATGACACAGGTTCAGACATTTGGTGTATATGCCTGGCTAAGGAGCCAGTGGGGTGAAGCCACCATCTGTGGGATTATCTCTTAAGTCAGAAGCCACCCAGTCAGAATGATAGGGCAGAGTGGCTGAGCTTCAGCTTGCTGGTACCCCACTGTTCCTGCAGGCAGGTAGTCAAGTGCTCCCCAGGTGGTGCAGGGGCATCCTTGACAGTCCTGAGCAGAGAGCTCTAGAGAAACAGCCAAGCAGGAAAGGGGGCTGCCCCTCACATCTAATGCAATGCATGTTCTTGGGGAACCTGGTGCTAAGCCATAGACCTGCTTCTGGGTCAGTGTTGCTATGTAGCAGAGCCACAGTAGATCCCTCACTGTAATCTATTGAGAGCCAGCCCTCAACACAAGGGTTTGAAGGAAAACAACACCAAACAACTAAAGAAGCAAACAAAACGAAAAAGAAAAAAAGCTATGAGACAGCAGTTACACAATAGAACAACCCAAGTAAGGAAGCTTGAAAATACCAAGTGTCAGGATAGGGCGCAACTGGGCCAGGCTCATTGCTGGTGGATACATTAATTAGTAAACAGTGTAGTAGTTTTTTATAAAGTGAAATACTTTTAAATATGACCCAGCAATTAGCTCCTGCATGCAGATGTTCACAGAAGCTTTATTCATAACAGTAACAACTTGGAAACAACTCCAGTATTCAACTAGTGAATGAACAGGCAAGCTGTTATGTATCTGGTCACCACCACTTAGGTATAAAAAAGGAACAAACGGATACGTGGGACAACATGAATGAATGAATCTCATAGAGTGTTATGCTAAGTGAAAGAAGCCAGAAACAAGATTACATATTTTATAATCCCATTTATATAACATTCTAGAAAAGGCAAACAGTAGTGACAAAAAGCATATCAGTGGTTGCCAGGACTATAGACAAGGCAGGGGATTGACTATAGAGGGGAGCATTGGAAATATTCTGTAGCTTGACTGTGCATTTGTCCAAACTCATCAAATTATACACTTAGGGCAGATGAGTTGTACTGTATGCAAGTAAATAGATTTGACTTTTTAAAAAGGACAAGGAGCATCATGACACATGCAAATTAAAACCACAATGAGATAACACTACAAGAGTTAAGGCGATCAAGACCAAGTGTTGCAGAGGACATGCAGCAATTGAGGCTTTCACATATGACTGGTGGCTGAGAGTAAAGTGTTGTAATTACTATGGGATGCTAGAAGTTCATAAATTAACATGTTTACCTATGACTCAGCAATTCCACTTAGTCTACCCTCATTCCCTCGCAAATGAAATCAGGTGTCCACCAAAAACATTTATTGCAGCTTTATTCATAATAAAAATTTGGAAACAACCCAAATGCCTCTCAACAGATAAACTGGTTTGGAATGCTGCTCAGCAATAAAAAGAAACAAACTACAGCCTCACAGAAAATGTTGGCCCTACAAAAAATGTTAAAGGGACTTCTTTAAGCTGAAAAAAATGGCTCTAATGACAAGAAATCATACAAAAGTAAAAATCTCACTGTAAAAACTACAGTAAAGGTAGTGAATGAATAACTTACAAAGCTAATATAAACATTCAAAAGACAATAATAAAGTTAAAACTACAATACTAAAGGACATAAAAATGTAAAAATTAACATTTAAAAACAATGGAGAGAAGTCAAAATATAGAGTTTTGGAATGTGTTCAAATTTAAGTGGCTTTCAACTTAAAATTGACTGTTACATACATAGGATGTCATATGTGAAACAGCAACCAAGAAGCAAAAAACTTACAGTAAATACACAAAAGAAAGTGAAAAAGGAAGCTAAGGGTAACATTAAAGAAAGTCATCAAACCACAAGGGAAGAGAGGAGAAAGGAGCAGAGAGGAACTACAAAAACAGCCAGAAACAATTATGAAAATGACAGTAAGTACATACCTTGCAATAATTACTTTAAATGTATAGGGACTAAATTCTCAAATCAAAAGATGTAG